ACTGCTCGAGCACCAGTAGTACCAGTTCAGCAGTAAACTGCGCACAGCAGTAGTCGCTTACTCGCCGCTTGCAGCAGGGTGGGACTGTAGGACTAGACCAATTGGACAAGAGCGTCCTGCATTTCTGCCAAAAGATGACGTCACCAAAACGCCCTTCGGTGGATTTCGGGTTGATACTGCCAGTAAATACTGGGAAGTACTGGATATTCCAGTATTGAAAGCTGTACTAAAGCGTCCAGTACAGTACAGTACCGAGAGCCGTGCTGCCAGTACAGTATATTCCAGTATCGAGAGCTGTACTGGAGAGTGCAGTATTTTTATTCCAGTATCGAAAGCTGTACTAAAGCGTGCAGTATTTTTATTCCAGTATCGAAAGCTGTACTAAAGCGTGCAGTACAGTATATTATGGCCAAAGGTACTGCAATACTGAAAATACTACTGGCAGTATTGTACTGTACTAAACCTGCCCGTGAAATTATTGTCTTCTGGCAAAACGATGCCGGAAACGCAGTACAGTACCGCAGTCCATCCAAGAAAATGAATCGTGTCGCTCACATCTTGATATGGCGGTGGACGTGGTGATTCGTACCATATTAGACTAGTCACCGTCGTAGGTAAAACCGATTGTGTAAATACCACATCGCTTTGTAAACGCTTCCCGTGCCACCGCAGTTCTTCAGGTAGAATAAGTGGTCGTTCACAAGTTCATATTCTGGACGTCATTCGCACCCCAAGAGTCACTGCTCTCTTATCGGTGTGTAAACACCACATCTCTTCATTTACCTTTCCCATACTACTGCGGCGTAACGCTGTTGGCCTTTGTACGGTACGGTACCTTCAAGTACGTTGTCGGGGGCAGTCTACAATGAGCCATCGTAGAGGGGTATAGGGCGGCATGCGGAAGTACGTAGGTGAGACTTCCGGTCTGCTCCCACATTTCATTCGAAGGTACACTCGTATTTTTTGTTGTCCATTGGTATGGTGATCACTCCGATAGCTCCCACCTTCTATCCGAGCAAGAGTTCGGCATTTGATGCTTATAATGATAACGAGAGACTTTACAAGGCGGATTACCTCCAAGTCGGCAGTTATTGAACCATATGGTCCTCATTTTTCCATCCATTTCCTCCGTCGTGTTGAGAGTACCAACTTCATTCACTCTCTATATGCAGTCTCTAATTCTGAGGGAGCGCAACGGATGATCAACCACTCTCCCAATGACCCTCAATGTTTGGTTCATATTTTTGCAGGAAAGAGTTGGTTTCAAATGCGCTTCGAAGTGAAAGTGGACTTTTCAGCAGAGAGCCACGATCAGCACAGCGTTGCCCACGATGGCTTCCCAAAGGCCTCGCCCGGCGGTACGTGCTTAGCATACACGGCTAAGGGAGCTATTATCGTCAGGCCGAGAATGAAATCGCCCCCCAGAACGGAGTAGACTATACACAGCGCCCCATCGTAGCGTCAGAAGTGAAATTATTGGAGGACATGCTCAGTATGTTGCCATCGATAAGTGGCGAATCCTTGATGATACCAATAACGCATATCGATAAAATAGAATGATGTGAGCGAACTCTCGTCCTTTGCACCCACCGCCAGCCAATGAACTCACCCCGCCTTGTGGTTTCTCACTGTTCAGCACCATATGCATCTTGCTTTTCTTGAAAGAAGTGAACCCGAAAAGAAATGGGTTCCGACATTCACTCGACCTTCGAATTTGGCGATCCATTCGATTGGCGACCGACATACGGGAATTGGTATCCCCACACACCTGTGACGAGGCCTCGGACTCTACTGCTAATAGCCTAGCTGCTATCTCGGCCTGCCCGGGGTCCACCTCCTCCTTCAGGGGCGGCTCGTACTGGAACACGACTCCTTCCAGGACCTCCTCCTCCTTTGCTATCTAGTGGTCGGCAGATGAACGGCAAGGAAACGTGATGATGAGGTTTCCTGCCGATGACACCATTGTAATGAGGTTTGACCCCTTCCTCCAGAATCAATCACCTTTGAGCTGTATGGATTTCTCTTGTCCGACATAGGTGCATGTTGTTGTTGCTCTCCGTTGTTCTCTTTCTCTTGAGTAACGCTTTCCATGCCAACTCACAGATCCCAAGCACACACGATCACCGGATCGTCTGCACACTGAACAGAAGGAAGGGCACATGCCCCGGCAGAAAGGCCTAATCTAGCATGACGTCAAGTCGTAGCATCTGATGACTCCAAATATCTATGATAAACCACGATTACATGTCTACCTCCACATATCAGGACAGAGGTGGTCGTGATGAAGGCGGGGCAAACCTAGACGAAAATGAATATGCATTCGTGGCGAGCTTCGTAGTGAAGTGAAGAAGGCGGGCAAGGGCAAATCTAAAGAAGAGAACAGGAAGGCCGAGTGATAATGTCCTTAGGTGGAGAGCGAAAAGGGTCGTATGACGTGTTGCCTGTGGTTGGTCATAATGAAAAACAGTGTTGCGTGTGAATTTTGAGAGGGAAGAGGAAACGCCCAACACACTCACTCTACGTCACGGCGTCGCCTTTGCTACGAATGAAACCCATCACATTCATCGTTGGTTTATCAATTCTGGTAGATTTTTGTCGAAAGGGTGGCAGTCGGCGTGCAGGCTCCCGTATGCGACACACTTTAAGATAGTGTTCGCAAGCACTGCCCTCACTTGCTCTCTCAGATTCTTCATAAGAAAACGATCAGGTGCGCACACACACGTACACATTTTCATTGGTCATTCGCTTGGCAAGGCCGATGTGCATGCAAGCGCACACACAGAAACGCACACAAAACTAGAAGCCTCGGCAGACATTCTCTTCATGTGCTACCACTTCTCTTCGCAAATAATAGAAGAATACCCTATCCCATGACGCCACCTATCTATGGGGACCGAGATCATGGCCTTCTGAAGTTCTTACGTTTGATTTTACCCTCCCTGAGACTGGCGAAATTCATTCTTCAGCCGGCTAACGCAGTCGACGCCAACAACGAATATTGACAATCACACACACGTTGCAGTGAGCGTGCAAGGAACCCCTCAGCAGACCGATCCTGAAGAGCAACACACGCAGAGAGCCTTGCCTGCATGATGGCGCTCTGAGCGTGCCGGTGCACCCGTTTCTTCGGCGCCACCGCGGCTCCACCTTCTGTGTCGTCGGCGTTCTCCTCCGGCCTCTTCTCAGCCGTTACCAACTCTGTGTGCGGCGCATCGATCAGCGAATCAAATGATTTTTGTCAATCAAAATAGGTAGACATGGTGCACGATACTGGTGGCTCATGTGTGAACAAGACTACGACTACTGGCCGTGCTCAGGTTAGACAGCGGAATTTGGGCTACCGGGAAAACATGCTAGAGGTTCCCGGGGCTTTTCGTGGCTGGTTGTTCCTCCGGCGAAAAAAACGAGTCGTTCCTCTCTATGTCATAAATATTTTTCAGAACTGAATATAACATGGAACGAAGACACTACCGTACCCTACAGTATCTGGAATGAAACGGCTAGTCTATGAGGAGAAAGTGATGTGTGCGATGTCTTGCGGGGCTTTGTCGACGTAGCGGATATTACGGAGGTACTTTCGGCAGGACACGATTGGACCCGGAAAGTGACGGCGACGGAGGGGCGGTGTTGGCTTGAGTTACTCAGACCAAATGTTTCGGGGTTTTGATTGGACGCAGTCGGAAAAAGACGAAGTAGAATTCAGAATGCGGAAGAAGACTCGGGGAAATGCAGCATTCGGATTTTTTGCATGGTAGAGCGTCCTACCAGCTCACCCTTTCTCTTTGTGCCAACGCACTCGCGCTTGATTCTTTCACCACGACGAAACCGCAGGTTCGTCCTAGGTAAGCATACCATGATCTACGAGCAACATCGAGGGATATGCCATGCCTCCCCAGCCACGAAAAAAAGGGCGAGAGGGTGCTCTTCGTGGGGAAAAAAGAAAAAAAAAACGCCCGACTTGGCTGCGCGACCGAAGTAACGTGGTCACAACGTAAACCACAACGACAGGCTTCGCTTGACAGACAGTAGCAACCATCATCCACCGCAACCGACGGCCGGAAGAAGACACGAGTAGCGTCTCGATGGTGGTGGTAATGCGCGCGCACACGAAGATAACGCACCTACCTCCGGCATCACCGATCAGGACCAAGAGTAGCTTGGGCTCCTCGCCCGGCTTCGTCCCAGGTCCCGACGGCGCCCCTCCGCGAACGCCGCCTCCTCCACCGCTGCTCCCGCCGGACGCCACAGATGATGGTCTGTCCATGCCAACACCGCCGCCGCCGTCGCCGCCGCCGCCGCCGCTGATGCCGCTACTTGCAACCCCGCCGCCGCCGCCGCCGCCCGCGCGCCCCTGCTGGCTTTGTTCTGCCTTGACATCTTCTTCTGACATCAAGACCAACCGTTCTACCAGCGACTCGTGCACCCGGGTCCGATTGGGTCTATCCCCGGTAGTGAAGACGTCCGTGCGACGTGGAGGGAATCGAGGGTCGGTTGTTGAGAAAGTGTATTGGGCGTTTGCGTTATGCCTGCCAGGTTCATCCACGCGAAATAACTCATGGAGCCACACGTGGGTGCCCCCCCATGGAGCTGCACCCGACATGGGACACGCGTGGATGCAAACCATCTCAGAGCGAAGCCACAGCACGGTCTCAATCCGTTTGATACTTTCGTGCTTGTGAGAACAACGACCCTCTCTCCCCCAATACACGTACGTCGGCGTGCACCCAATCGTACTGATATAGTTGCATAGAAGGAGGCATCGGAGCCAAAGAGGATCGGAGACGAGACGCCCCCTTTCGCCAAAGCCAATCGTAGTGTCTGCCTCGGGCGCCCGTTGAGAGTGATTCTTCCGAAGTGGTGCAGGGGCGGAGGAACCCAAAAGCAATCTTACGGCTCTCACCCTAACGTATAGAGGTGCGGGTGGGCTCTCAGGCAACCCTTGATGTGTTCGTCCTGGATGTGCAGCACGTGGTGCTTCAGCACCACCGGGTCGTATGCCTCCACCCTTATCTCGTAGTCCACGTCGTCCATCTTGACGCCCGTTTCGCGAGCATCGCCCCGCTCCTCCTCCTGCTTTCGCTCGTCTTCCGACATAACCTTGAAAATGGTGACACCAACGAGTGACGGCGGTAGCGTCGACGGAATCGGGGGGTTGAAGGCAGTGAGAGGTGGGCTACAGCGGGGGGGGGGGGGGGGGGGGGGGG